AAACTTCAGCAGCTCTTGGGGTGATGTAATTATTAGCACAGGTGGGGAAGGAGCTGAGAATAGGGGCCGAGCCTTCTGGAGAAGCGAATTCAGTAATTTATTTATGTCAGGTAGTGACTACAAACACCGCCTAACACTTCTGTAGAGCCACATGTGCACACTGGCAACAGGTGCAAAGTAAAAGCTAAAATTTAATCACTATGGTAGCACACAAAACCAGAAACCCCACAATATTTATGATTTGAGTCTTTTCAAAGGGAGATAAAATACGTCGTTATTCTTCTTATAAATTCATAGGCTCCAAGACTTTGAAAAGCAGTCACTGGAGCCGTTAGAAAGAAGTCTTACACTTCATTTCACACCATCCTGGAAAAAACATATTAAAATGGAATCCTAGATGGATGTATGCACACTTCCCAGTTTTGAGTCATTACGTCTCTATTTGGAGAGGATACAGCAGCCTGCTGTAAACCGTCCAACCTGCTGCTTTGTCCTCATTATTTAACCTTTAAATAGATGGACTTTTACTTTAAAACATAAGACAACGATGATTTCTAATGTTTCAGCAGGTCAAGAAGAAGAATACGCTTTAAAGACATCCCGTCAAACTGCTAATTCCTCCCCCTTTCCATGCAACAACCAGCTTCCACATTCATGAAAGGATGTCATGAACAGTTTCTATCAGCGACTTTTACACTGCTTCCATAACTAATTCTGCATATGCTGAACATGCATCTCCTCTAGCCATGGCCAATCCATGTATCAGCAGCCAAAGGGAGAGAAAACACTTCCACCCAAGCAAGGAAGTGGGACAACTCTTCACATAAATAGGCCACTGGGATTTTCCCCCTCTAATTCATCAGATCACTAAAAATAAACCACAATTAAGTCTGTGAATAGGAATCCAACTCAATCACCCCTCCACAATGTTTTGGATTACTTCACTTCTAATTAGATCCACAGTGCCAGAAGGTCTATCTGCACATGAAACGTAAGCAGTATGTATACAAGCATAGCAGTTTTATATAACTACAGATATGTCCTGGTTTTGCTGAGACAGAATCACAGAATCTGTTTTCTATTCAGGAAAGGCATTTCTGCAAGAACCACAGTACTCAATTTCACGGAAACAGAGTTGATAAGTCACTTCGTTTTAGTTTTTGACCGGCACTGGTATGCAGTGATCAAGGTCTGTGGTAGTTTTGAGATAACCAGGTGCAGAAGTTGGGGGGAGTTAAAGCCAGGGGCTTTCAGAGCAGCTGACCAACAGAATTATTATTCCATACCATAAATGTGACACTCATTGTAAACTGGAGAGTTTCTGGGGATGCCCTCTCTCTCCTTGATGGTCATCAACCCCAGAGGGTTGCATTGTTCCACTCTCAAGGCCTCCTATTCCCCCATTTTCATGGGTGTTTGCAGTGGTTTTTATCTTGTCAAATATTCACTGCTGGGAGTGCATGACTCGCAACTTCTGTGTGAGTCGAGTATAACTTTATGTGTTGTATTACTGTTCTTCCTATTATTATCATTATATTATTTTAGTTTTGTTTATGTCAATTATTAAATTGTTTTTATCTCAACCCACAGATGTTCTGACCTTTCTTCTTCAATTCTCTCTCCTACCCCACTGAGGGAGAGTGAGTGAGTGGCTGCATGGTATTTAGCTGCCTGCTGGGTTAAACCACAACAGCATACAAACACATTTTGTAACTCTGTGCAATGAATTATTGCTCAGCAAGCAAAACACAGCTCCTTTCTAATGCTTTTACAGCAAGCTATGGCACCCTCAAGCCTTTCTTTGTTCTTTTCCTCAACCTGTCTTTATTCCTAAAACAGCTATCATTATCAACAGGCATAATTTATCAGTGTGCAACAGCAACAAGGAAAGATCTCTATTTGCTAAGGTCACTTTGACTCCGTAGCGATAAAACTTAACTAGGAAAATATCAACCAATTCTCTTTTGCTCAAACGAAGGCTCACAAGCTGGTGTTCTATTTGTGTTAGCTTCTGCTAATTAAAACCTTTCAAATGCTAAAAGAATTACAGAAAAATCCCACTTTTTAAAACCTAAGTTTTAATGTTGGATTTCTATTACAGGAGCCAGTTTATTCATAACTAACACCAAAAAGAGAGGGTCACTCACAGCACCGGAACAAAAATATTTGAGCCGTGTCCAGCAGATTTCCATGGAACAATTCCCTGTGCTGCTTGTAGGGCTCTTGTGTCTTTTTTTCATTCGGCGGTTGTTTCATTATACAGCCAAGATGAGTTCCAGCAGAGATGGAAGTTCATTAGATATGACTTAGAGGCTGATTCGAATGACCAGTTCCAGAGCAATAGAGTTTGTAGGGCAAAAATAAAAAAGTCAGTGCAGAAGTGGCCAAAAGTGACAGGATATTACAAAAAGCTTTAGCCAAGAGTTTCGGCAGCCATCTGTAAAATGGAAGAGACTTTTCAAAAGTGTTTGGCCTTAGGGGTAAATGACATACCTGTTCTGCAGCCACTTTCACATAAACAGCACCATACGCTCAGAAGCACTATGACCTCAATCACTTTTTGTCAAAAGACAAAATTATCTTTATTATTTAGAAGGTCACTCACGCTACGAAGCATCCATTTTAAACAAGACTTTAACCGGAGATGGACTGAGAGCTAACAGAGTATAACTCAACCTCACCCCCATCACAGTGTGGTACCCAACAGCTAGCCTTGAAGCAGCAAATAATCTTCTTCTGACTGCCACGTGTTAGCCAAACCTCTCTTCTTAATTCCTACTTATATTTGCTTTCTTTTAGTTCCAGAAAATTATAGATGCTCATGTGATGACTGCTACATTCTGAGTAACATACGGAGAAAAAGACATTCTAAAAAAAAAGTCAACCTGTCAAAATTTCAGTAGCATTTTAAAGCTGCCCTCTGATAATGAGCAGCAAGCAAAATTCAGACTTGCGTGAATACAGTTAGAATCATACTTAAGACTCCTAATCTCACAGGAGCAAAGCCAGGAACTAAGCTTTAAGTCACAGCTTTGCTCTACCTGTAGAATATGTAAAATAAATATAAAAAATAATTTGTTCCCTAAAGTCAATGCAGCATAGAAGCCATTCAGCCTGAAATTCCACTGACATCTCCAATGAAATAAAAGTTCCCATTCCCTACTGCTTTTCCTCCGCACTGTTTCCCTATTCTTACACTGCCAAGCAGCATGTCTGAAGAAAAGGCCTTAATTCAAATACAGAAGAAACAAGATGAAAATTAAATGGAAGACAAATAGCTCCTAATGCCGTGAAGCCACATAAGACTGGTCTTGGAAAGAAAGAGATGCTGTGGCTAGGAGTGTGAGGATTGGACTGGATGATCTTTTGAGGTCCCTTCCAATCCCTAATGTTCTGTGATTCTGTGAGGATAAAGAGAGCAGGACGAGGAGCAGGGTAAGTGAGTAAGTCAGCGTGAAAGGAACAAACCAGAGAAGAAGAGTTTAATCCTCAGGGCAGAAAAAAGGCATGTTAGGTACTGGCACATCAGCCATTGCTTGAGAGGGGCTGCTTCAGATTGTTTCACTTGTATTATATTTACAAAAAGCTAAAAGGCATATGCTGAAGATTTGTTACTTGTGCAGCAGAGACTACAAACTATGATTCAATACTCTTCATGTGCGTAAAGACAAACTGTTTCCCTTCGTTTCCATACACTTGTTCACTGCCACGTGACTTAAATGAAGTTACAGTAGTTTAAATCAGGGTAAATCCCTGGAAGTAAATGCATTACACCCTGCTGCGAAACTACCATGAGGACAGGATGAACAACCCCAGTCCATTTGAATTCATTTCATGCTGGAGTTTCCTCTAAATCACTTTGTGCAGCTATCTTAGCTCTCAATCTCTACAAAATTCATTGTGAACATTTTAATTTCATTCCTCTCTTCCAGTCTTAAGAAGATGACCATTTGTCATGCACTGGCCTAAAGTGTGTGTTTTCATCACCTAAAAACTAAGCAGCGTCTACTGTTACGCAAGCAAGCAGAGGAAAAGCATGTCATCTAGATTTAAAGTAATAAACCCACATGCCTTGGAATCGCTCCCAAAAGCACTTAAGACGGGAAATGAAACTTTACTGCCCTAGTGTATTACCGTGGTGCCCAAGAGCACTACGATAGTTTGGGATGAGGCTCAGAATTTCCATTAGAGACCCAATTTGCAGGAAGTTTAACTTGGCCATGAACATTTGCTTCAGGCTAAAAACTATTTTATAAGCTTTCCCTCCGAGTGCCAATAATTTAAAAAGTTTGCTTGGATTTTAGTCAAAGAATAGCTATAAATTTGTCATCTCATGTAGAAGACACAATGATGTCAGTGGCCCATAGACTCTTAACAGAGACTCCTTCTAGACTTGGGATCCTGCCTATTTTTTCCTAGCCTGAGCTGCTTTAGGTTAATTTATTGAAGTCTCACTCTTTAAACATGTAGCCATATGGCTCCATAACTCCACAAATTGCCTCAGGTCATCAAGAAGCAGCAGATGCAGACACAGTGGTATCACAAGCAACAGCTACTGTTCAGAGGCAATGAGTGAGTTGCTATTCTGCCCTGCCATCAGCCAGCTGCAAAACACAGGCCCAGACACAACATTCGACTCCTTTTCTTTCCAAAAGAGTAACTTCTAGTAAAGCATAAAAAAGAAGAACAACCACCAGCTTTCCAGGAAAGATTCAGAGCAATAAACAGAAAGCTTTGAACAAATAAGTATTTCTTCTGAAGTACCCAATACATCAATACACAGAAGTAAAATCTGGAAAATGAAGTAAACCGAGTTGACTTTTCTTGGTCCAAGCTCAGAGAAATTTTAAAAAACAAACTAACACACAAACAATTTTACAGCCCTAAAACTTGTCATCTGCCTTCTTCTCAATCCTACATCCCTTTCATGCAGACTCTTAAATCATTCTAGAATGCAATACTGTCGATATTCACCTTCCCAGATCTTCTGTGCTACTAACCTCATTGTCTAGCTGGAACTTGCTGTCTTTAGTCGGCCTCTGGATTTTTCTACGCGTAGATTCCTCTGAATCTGCAGACTGAAAAGAAATTAATTGCTCTAGATTCAGTGTGCCAAGAAGCAAGCTACTTACCTGAATAACGTGAAAGGGGAAATGAGCATAGAGTAGAAGTGAGCACATTGCAATGGTATTCTTATGCACCTACCTGCTCTCTTTACCTTGCCTCCCCCACACAGGGGACTAACCAAGCAAAATCGAGAGTTTAACATCGTTCTTTCTGAATAATACCAGAAAGATAAGAATCCTTAAGGCCAGCAGACAAGTACAAACAGAAGTGCTTTCTCATATCTAATAAAATTAATCCACGCCCTAACAGAAGCACCTTTAATGCCCATTAATCCCAAATTTCTGCCATGAACCAGTACGCAACAGAACAGAAAAGGAGAACAGGAAACATTTAGAGGAAGAAGAGAGAAGATAAACAGAACAACAAAATGAAAGGCAATGAAGTGACGTCTCTTAAGACAGTTTAGGACTTTACACTGAGGTCTGAGGTATGGGGAAACAGTGGATGTGTTCCTTCTCAAAGATGCAACACGATGCACAGAGCCCACTGCAAACAGAGCACCCTTGCAAGAATCCAGATGGGCTTCAAACGGTTCTTTCAAGAAAAAGAAAAAATCAAGCAGGAAGCAAGCAGCTTAATCTAGAAAGGCAGAAAAAAAATACAGATGAACAACTCCATCCTGAGTGTCCTGCTATAGAAGTAAGCTCAAGAGAGGTATTAATGACTAGTTGTGACCCAGAGGAACTCTCTTCAGGCCCATCTTCCCCAAAAGCTGGCCATGGCTGCAACAACAGCATGCATTGCTGGGAAGACACGTGAAGATCTAACCACGTAACAGCTGCTGCCACCCCTCTTTGCCAAATGTAACATAATGTGATCAGGAGAATCCAGACATGCAGAGTTCAAAGAAACAGCTTCTTACTAGATGTTCAGGAAGCACAGTCAGATGAATCTGATGGCTCAAGTCAAGATATACCACGACAGAGACATGAAGATACACACATGGCCTCAGTCACACTCTTACCAGATCAAATCCACACCGACACTTTCACTTCATGAGAGTAATTGCTGTTAAAGAAAGTACTTAATTGTTAAATGAGCAGAGAATACAAACATGCAAGGTCATTATAACAAACATTCGGTCCCTACCACCGCGTGCCGTAAGTTAATTCTTCTCTGAAATAAGATTTCAATTACCTTTTTCTCTGCTTTATCCTTTGCATGTTCTCTTAAATGCTCCCCATCTTTTTCTCTGTCTCTTTGTCTATCCCTTTCCCGATCTTTTCCTCTATCTCTGTCTTTCTCTCGTTCTCTGTCCCTAGCCTTATCTTTGTCTCTTCCTTTCAGTCTGTCCTTTTCTCTTCCTCCTTCATTTTTTTTCTCCTTTTCCTGTCCTTTATCATGCTCAAGATCATCTTCTCGTTCTGGGTCTCCTTTCCCCTTGTTTTTTTCTGTCTCTCTTCCTTGCTTGGTTGTTCTGCTTTTGTTTCTTTCCCTTTCTTGTTTTTCTCCTTCCTTTAAGGTGTCTCTTTCAGGGTCTTTGTGTCTGTCTTCATTATCCTTCTGTTTATTAATTTCCTTTTCTCTATCTTCGCTCTCTTTCAAATCTCCTTTGGGTTTTCTGTCTCTGCTTGAGCCTCTGTCTTTAACTTCAGTGTCGCGTCTACCCTAAAAAAGAAAGTAAACACTAAAAATTATTTCCAACAAATGGCAACTTTATCAGGCAGTTACTTTCCATAGACAAAAATGCAAGCTGAAAGAAAACCCCAACAAAACATAAGAAGCGATAGCCTCTGTACCTCACAAAAGTTGCAAATGCCTACCTCTCTATCTCTATGGCTTTTCTGTTCTTCTGTTTTGGATTCTCTGCTTTCTTTATCTCGAGGTTTAGAGGACGGAGGTTTCCCTTTAGCATCAGCTCTTTCTCCAGCTAAGATCCTTTTTACAGCAACATCACTGGACAGCTACAAGACACAGAAAAATATCATTGAAATGAGTAAATTATTTTACTCAACATCTCATTCCTTCCTATCTCTACAATCAACATTACTTGGGTTTTTTGCTGGCTGTTTGATTTTTTTAAAATAAAGCTTTTATTTTCGCTCTGTTGGGAACATTCTTTCACAAGAGTAATCTTTTATGTCAAACATCTTCTTGTAATTCTTGTAACAATTTGATTATATGTGCCAGAGCTATACAATACACAGAAAGCAGCATGTATTTACAACACAACAGTAATTCTCATTGCAGCAACCTAAACATTTTCCAAAATAGTAACATAAATGGCTATCAGATCCTTACACCACAATTGCTAGATTGGTTAAACACTCTTCAAGGCACACTACATTGTATTTGCATCCTCTTTTAGGCCACTGCACTTTCACTTGCTCAATGAGCAACAGTCACTAAAGAAAAGAAAACTACATGAAGAATAACTTTCAATAAGCTGCAGTTGAAGTGTTTAAAAAGCTTCTGCATCCAGTTCATTTTTTAAGACAAGCAATTATTAATTAGATCATTTAGAGAGCAAGTTAACATCATGTTTTCATGTTCAAGTGGCAAAGAGTTTGACTATACTGACAAAAAAAAGACAAAACAATCCTCACATTGCCAGGGAATTCTTCCTGGACCAGGACCAGCTTTTACTAAAACTGATATTGCCCTGGGGGCCGACTCCTGATTCTCTCCTGGTTTGTAAGTGCAAAACTATGAATTTTTGTGGGTTTTCACATTTGGACACTGACTTCTGCACATTAGCAACACTTGCCTGAGCGAAGTAACTGCAAGCAGTGTCCTCAGCGTAGCACCAAAAGTATCAAGTTAGAGAGAGAAGGAAATTTCTCCCAATGAACATAAAGCTTATGTTTCGCAATAAGAGCCAAGGGAAAGGGCTAATTAACTTAGCTCTCATGGATAGTTTATATCCTCTGGATATTAAATCTCATCACAGCATTCTACAAAGCTGTTCCATCAAGCACATTTTCAAACTCGTCCAGTCTCTGTGCATATGTTTATCAACTTCCCCCTTCCTGACCTCAAGCAATTCCTAAGGAAGAAGCTCATAGCACTCCAGCTAATTAAAACAAAATAACATAAATGTAAATGAGTAGATTATCAGACAAAGATAATCCAAACTAAAACTTGCAGACAGCCTCTAAACACTGTAGTATTTCAGCTAGTTATACACAATTTCTTCACATTCATTAATTCAAGGAGTTTAGATAATACTTTAGTATTTCAAAACTCTCTGTAACACCTATAAGCAAAGGATCCCCAGTACTTTTAATGCAACAATTATTTTAAGAACCATGCCTGCAGTTATTTTTAGCAGACTATCAAATTTCTCTTTTATTCCATTTCTATACTCAAAAAATGTGGGGAAAAAAGGCATCACACTGCAAAAATTACTTTCATTGCAGAATTAGAGATTTGACTGAAATTTTGAAGAAGATAAAGTCAAAGGTGGCAGCATCCAGTCATATAATTAATGTGTCTGCATCCCAAAGTTTTAAAAGTTCTAAAGCTTCATATTGTTCTTCAAACCTAAAAGATGTTATTAAATGACCAGTGAATAAGGTGAAAAATAAAAACCAGTAAGCATTAAAAGCACTAAAATATCCAGAAAGCATTTGAATGGGGATCTGGCTCAAATTCTGCAAAGGATCACATACCATTTACGTGGTTTTGTTATTTTAAGTGGTGACCCAACGTGTCTCTTGTGTAACGAAAAATAGCAGAAGAGTGTCAATAAAGTCTGTTACAGATAAACTCTGATACTATGTGTATATGTGTATAAAATATATAAAGTGATGTCATACCTTATTTAAGCAACACCTCCCAATTGCTTGAAGAAATTCATTGGTTTTTTCAGGTTCATGTCCAGCCACGACACGTGCTGGTTTTACTGACAGCGGCTCTCCTGTTACCATTACAACAGCATCAATTGCCTTCTGAAGGAAGCTGATTTTGGCATCTTTATCCTGGTAAAAGAGCAATTAAAAATGATATTGAGACTCCAAAATAATTCCGCACATCACCTAAAGACGAGAAAAATTCTGATGGAGGAACAGTTGTAGAAAGCACCCTTATAACAAGAGCAGCACATGGTTTGTAAGGTCAGGAAAGAAGGCTCCCCCTGATTTATAGTTAGCTATTTATTTCTGATTAAGTAATGAGAGCTTTGATAATGGGCGAACACTGAACTGGAATGACCAAAGTTAAGGTATAACTTTGTCTTTTTAATATTTTTATCGTTTAGCTTCAGTGCATTTTAAGACTGCTGTAAGACCCTTAGCACTCTATTTTCGAGCATTACGTGTTAACGAAGATCAAGTCTTGTTTAAGAAATGATTGCAAGTATTACCAAAAGAATCACTAAAGAGCTATAAAAGGGCTGTTACAGCAGATACTGCTCAGAAGGACAGTTCTTGCACCAAGTATTTTTCATCACAGAAGTCCCAAAGTTATAGGACTAATATGAGTCTAAATGGAGGGATGTACATGCTTGTACACATACTTTACAACCAGACTTAAAGTGAGTAAAGGAAACAAAGATGGTGGGAAGGGGATACAGGCACATATCTTTATCACCACAATCACCAGATGTGTTTTGGTTTTACAATTATATTTTACAAACAACTTTCCCAAAGTGCCCTTCAGTAGAGATGATGGCTTCGGGTGATTATGCAAGATCGTAAGAAAAAAATAAAGACAAAATAAACCAACCCCTGCCAAGTAAAATTTCATTGGAGGGTTCTTGGCCCAGAGAATGAAATCATGGTGTGAAGTCTCTGCAGCTGTAGAATACTTGGAGGGAGGAGGAAGGGAAGGGGTTTTATTAATAAAACATAATAAAATTCAAGGAATATTTACCAGGCCCAGCACAGAAGTCTACTCACTCATCCTTTACAGTCATGAGTGGAGATTAAAAAAGTATTTTACTAGCCTGTTAAAAAGTAAATCCATGTGAGAAGAATTCTGTATGCGTGTTTTCACAGGCACTAGTTCAAAAGAATATACACTACTGCATTCAGACTGATAACTGAAAAGCGGATCACTGCCATTTCAGTTCAGTGGGGAAAGGAAGAGTTGTAAATGTCCAGTAAAACACCTGGTTTTGCACTGCAATTACTGGCTGAGTATCTCAGGTGCACAGAATGACCTGGGTCTAATTTGACAGACATACTGATGCAGAGGAAAGCATCAGAAGCCAGTTTTTCCTTGGCTGAGCAAGGACTACACTCTTTACTGGTAGCACTGAGTATCATTGTGGCACTGGAGCTCAATAGAGCTGCTCGTGCGGTATCTCGAGTCCCAGGGTCACTCTCCATAAACAAGAACCGTTGCAAGAATGGTCAGTTAAATGTGTGGGAAGACAGTCTCCAGAGTCAGGGTATTTCCCATCTTTGCCTCTTCTGAAAGGATTAAAACAAACAACTGCCACATAGCTGGGATTTTCAGATTGTCTCCATTAACATCAGGAGCACTTTGCCCTCACCAGTGCTCCCTGTGTTCAAAAATAAAACAAGAAAGGAAGGAAATACTGCAACCTTCCATTAAAATAGTTGCCCGCCCTTCCAAGGACATACAATCTATTAATTTAGGGAAGGAGACAGGACGCTATTCCAAACCAAACAAGTTTTCAAATAAAGATCCAAAATTTTCTCCTACATCTTCACAATTTTCAGCAGTTATCAGTGTTCTCTGTGCAAATAAGAAATCTTTGTGAAGCCAGTGAGAAATCTACAGCTCCTACCTGCATCACTAAACAAAGTTCCATCAAAACAGAAACAAACATATGAAACAGTGCTGAGAGCTTAAGAAAATAATTTCTATTAGGTAGATTTCAAAAAAAGGTATCTCCACTATTCCAAGTGGCACGACTTCTTATTTGCATATATAGAGATCTAGATATATAGATAGAGATCTAGATATACAGATAGAGATCTAGATATACAGATAGAGATCTAGATATATAGATAGAGATCTAGATATATAGATATATAGATATACTTTTTTAAAACTTATTTTGTGTGTAGATATAAAGCTAATGTGAAAAATTAAAAGAGCAAGCCTGATACCCAATTTTTCCATTTATAAGAGAAAAACATGTTTACACCATTGCTATGTCCGCATGGGAGAGGTAAGTTGAAACTAGAAACAAAGACAGTTGCTGCATGTATGTGTGCGCAACACTGTGTAAAGGGATGTCCAGAACAGGAGCCAGCCCCAGCCACCACACAGGCTAGACCACAAGTTTTGGACTTTCCTGATTTCAGTCTATGCACCTTGTGATCCCCAACAACATAGCCAGCTCGCAAAAAGCAACTGTCAGTGTTTCCCAGTCCACAGCAAACAGACTGTGGACTACAGCAACGAGACTGTTTTACAGGGGGTACAAATATTTCCTTTTTTCTGAAAGCATCCTGCCTGTTCCAAGTCCGTGCATCTACTGCCAGATCACCACACCAGGTGAGGACCATTCCCTAGCGTTACATGAAGCAGATCACCCTAGCACAGAAATATGTATGGCAGTTCACAACACGGACTCCAGCTGCTGCTCTCAGACCCCAGCTCTCTGTGGGTAGTTTTGGTCTCTGCAAAACGATTACTCTTCACATTGTCTACAACTCCAACAGAAATCACAGTAAGAAAACAACTTGTGACAGCCAAGCCTCTCTCTTGACCGGTGTTTTGAAAAGAAAAACACAACTACATGGCAGCGTTTTGATCTTCTCTGCCTGAGCTCTTGAAAACCATCATCTCACAAACTGTGAAAGAAAGTCACAGGAAAGTACTCAAGATCAGTGCTACTTCCCAGCTATCACAATACGTAGGTGCAAAGACCTCCTCAGGAGTTGCTAAGAAATCTGCTTTTTTGAGTCACAAATAAAACACATGGTGTTCTCCAAAGAGGCAGCATGAGCGAATCTGTTCTTCATCATAGAAACTATTGGCAAGCTTCAATGGGGACAGTAAAAGTAGAAAAATACAATCAATCTACAGTATAACTAATTTAGATTTCAGTTACGTCAACAATAATAAGAACAGCCACAAAAATTCATATCAGGTCAATAATTAGCTGCAAGAAGTGCATGAAACACCCATGCAACCAGCTGTATGGTGACAAGCCAGGCTCCCAGACCTCACACTTTCAGTTGCTGTGTGAACAATCACCAAGGGATGTAGCTGCCTAACTAGCAACACACAAACACTGCGTTATTTGCCATGAACAAGTGACCAAAGTTTCCAATCAAGTCAGTAATTGACGTCCACATCAGCTCAGCAAAGAGGCAGACAACAGAAGAGCAACAAAGAGAGACTAAAGACACCCTTGTACTTAAGAAAAGCATTTTTCAGTAATAACATTCATCTTCTCTTTCAGTAATTAGCCATTTCTATACTGTAATAAACCTATTGTGGAATGCATATTTTAGACGAATGCCTTGGCAAGTCCTGCAATATTAAGCAAGAATATTTACTGTATATATGTATACAGAATACACACATATATAGAGCAACGAATATAAAACCATACATCCCACTGAGACACCACAGCTCTCTTAAAAAAAAGCTGCGAGTGGATCTCTAGTGTTTCTGATTTATTAACAATGCCTAACTACTTCAAGGCAGTCTTGCTACATAGTGAATCTTTTCATCTGTAATACAATAATATTTTGGAAACCTAGATCTGGTCATAGATTAACTCTCACTGTTTTGAAATCTGTACAGAAATAGTTCTTTACACATGACAGCTTGTTTGTGTCACATCCACAAATGCAATTTATAGGTGTTCATCCCATACACTGTATAACATAGCCAAGAGGCAAGACCTTTTACAATTTCTTCACAAAACGAAAGACAAGTCCGTGACATTCAATGCAGAAAGGACCAAAAGTACCTTGTGGCGAGTTTCAAAGAATACTAATATTAAAGCTTATTAACAAGGAAGTTTTACACTCACCTTAACATTATCTGATTTCAGTTCAAAATCCGTGTAAAGTCCTTTCATAAAGCCTGTCACTCTAATTACCTTCAAAACAGAAGAAAAGAAGTAAGTTAGGAACGCTGGAAGGCCTCTGTTCAATAGGGCTTGTGTGGCAATAGGAAATATTTTGGCCTTATTTGCTTTCAGAGATGATAACCTTGTTTGGAACCATGTCTAGAGCAGGTTCTGAGGTCTGCTGTGCCTCTGAACATGCTCTGAAACGAGACTTAATCCTTGCTTATGGCTCAGGCCTCCCTTCCCATTTAATTCCATCTTTAACCTTGATGGTTGGTGAAAACAGATTCACAACAAAAACTTCATCTGCACCATTATGCATTTTAAACACAGCTCTGCATTATTCCCTTCTTGACTTTATATGCGACTATGTATAAATGCAGCAACTCAGTGAATATAAAAATTAAAACTTTTTTTTTAATAAGAGATGGAAAAACAACCAACACCAGCTTGAACAATGGAGTCAGACCCCTTACCTGGTCTTAACCAATACCAGCAACCCTAAACCTCCGGAGATTTACTCGCTACCCTAAAACATCTCAGACACACTTGCTACTCCAAGCGTAACCCCCGCAGCAGCGACCTGGGTGCGCCATTCTGCCCTGCGCGGACCCCAGGGCCCTGGAAAGGCGCCAGGGTTCCCCATTCTGGGCGAAGGCCCCGGGTGTCCCATCGGCAGAGCTCCCCTCCACAGCCTCGCACCTGAGGGGAATCTCCGCTCCTGTGGGGACCTCTGCGCCTGGGGGGGAACCCCTCTCCCCATCCCTCCACCCCGCAGCAGCCACACCCCCACCCACTAGGGGGCGGCCGAGCCCGTAGGGAGGCCCTGTTGCCTAGCAACAGTGGAGCGGGCCCGCAGGCCGGTTCCCGGCCCACCTCGGTGATCACGTCGTGCAGGTAGCGGAAGGGCGGCTTACTCAGCAGCCGGTCCGTCAGCGGCGGGCTGCGGGGCGCCCTCGCCCAAGGACCCCC